AATACGACCTTGTGGAGTAGGAGTAGAATTTTTTATACACTGTTCTCAGTGTATGTTTTTACTTTGTGTTTCTCTCTGCCTTTTTTATTTTTTTCATGCATTTGTAAGGGTGATTTTATCTATTCATAAATGACCCTGCTCTCCTCTCATTCTAAGTAAGCCTCAGTTCAAGGTAACCTCTCCTTGGAGGGCTTTTTAGAAGAATTACCTTTCTAAAATGCAGATCTGAGCATGTTGTGTGTTTGAAACATCACTGGTTTCCCGTTGCCCTTTAGGAAAAAATGAAAAACTCTTGAAATGGCCCAAGGGCCTGTCACGCTGTGGCCTGTTGCTTCTTCAGCCTCACCTCTGATCGCTTACTTCTAACTGCTTTCAGTAAGTGTTCGGATGGTGGGGTCTTGGCTTCATGGTGGTGGTTCTTAGATTATTAGAAGTCGTCCAGTTCAGCTGCTTATTTTAAAAATGGGGTTTCTTTCAGAGGAGAGAGGGGTAAGGGGATGGGCAGAATGGGTGAAGGGGAAAGGGAGATACGGGCTTTCGGTTTATGGATGCTCATTCTCTGTCTCTCTCTCTCTCAAATGAGTAAGTGGAGTCTTCTTTGTTTTTTTTAGGATTTTATTTATTTATTTGACAGACAGAGATCACAAGTAGGCAGAGAGACAGGCAGAGAGAGGGGGGGAGCAGGCTCCCCGCTGAGCAGAGAGCCCGGGACCCTGGGATCATGACCCGAGCCAAAGGCAGAGGCTTTAACCCTCTGAGCCACCCAGGCGCCCCTTTACAGAGGTTTCTTGGGGTGCCTGGGTGGCTCAGTCACTTGGGTGTCTCATTCTTGATTTTGGCTCAGCTCATGGTTTCAGGATTGAGCAATAGAGCCCTGTGTCAGAGGTTTCTTTGAGCTCTAAAATACAATGATTTAAGCACTTGCTTTTCTAGTTTTTAATTAACTGCCTGCCTCCTTCCTTTGGTCGTCCTTCTGTCCATCTGTCATCGTGCTTGGACAATCATAATCCACGGGCTGAATGAAATTAATATTCATAGAGGTGAGGTTAAGAAGATCAGCATATTAGAAAGCCTGTAACACTCCAGCCTCCTTTTTCAGGTTACTAGTATCACATTGTTCTGATTTATAATGATCACAGTGTGATGTTCTGATTAATGACAGTTTCATATTAGGGGAGAACTCCAAAGGCAGGAGTGGAGCACTATTTGTACTGTATTTTTCTGTATTTCCTCTTACATGGGGGAGTGATAGCAACAAGCATTCACTCTTTTATTTTCATCAGTATTTAGATACATGAAAGGAAAGGCTAAGAAACTTGGTGCCCACAGCTGAGTTCTTCCTTGTGTCCTGGTGGCAGCAACTCCTGTGCACTTGAATTCCTTGGAAGAAGAGGAGAAATCTCAGCATTAAGAAATGAATATTAGTTATGCTGAGCAAAATAAGTCCATCAGAGAAAGACAGTTATCGTATGATCTCTCTGACAGGAGGAATTTGAGAGGCAGGGTGGGGAGTTGTGGGGGTAGGGAAGAAAAAATGAAAGAAGGTGGGATCAGGAGGGAGACAAACTATGAGACTCTTAATCTCACAAAACAGGGTTGCTGGGGGGAGGGGGGTATGGAGAGGGTGGCTGGATTATGGACACTGGGGAGGGTATGTGCTACGGTGGGTGCTGTGAAGTGTGTAAGCCTGGTGATTCACAGACCTGTACTCCTGGGGCTAATAATACATTATATGTTAATAATAATTTTATAAAAAAGAAATGCGTATTAGGCATCTGGTTAGTATAATGCTGTGTATAGGAATGTGGTAGACTTGAATTATTTCCTTTTAATAGTTCTGTTGCAGTGACATGGGTGGAGTATTGTGCTAAGCAGAAGTCATTCAGAGAAAGGCATTTCATTTATGTGGAATTTAAGAAACAAAACACGTGAGCATGGGAAAAGAGAGAGAGAGACAAACCAAGGAACAGACTCTGAGCTGGAGAGAACAAACTGATGGTCACCAGAGGGGAGTAGGGTGGGGGGTGATTTAAATAGGTGATGGGGATGAAGGAGGGCACTTCTAATGAGCACTGGGTGTTGTGTAGAAATGTTGAATCATTATATCGTACACCTGAAGGTAATATTATTACACTGTATGTTAACTAACTGCAATTTATTTACTTTTTTTTTTTTTTTTAAGATTTTATTTATTTATTTGACAGACAGAGATCACAAGTGGGCAGAGAGGCAGGCAGAGCGATGGGGAAGCAGGTTCCCCGCCGAGCAGAGAGCCTAATAGGGGGGCTTGATCGCAGGAACTTGGGATCATGCCCTGAGCCGAAGGCAGAGGCCTTAACCCACTGAGCCACCCAGGCGCCCCTACTTACTTATTTATAAAGATTTAATTTATTTAACAGAGCACAAGCAGGGGGAAGCAGAAGGATAGGGAGAAGCAGGCTCGCCACTGAGCAGGGAGCCCCATGGGGACCCCAGGACCCTGGAATCATGACCTGAGCTGAAGGCAGATGCTTAACCAGCTGAGCCACTCGGGTGCCCCCACTAACTAGAATTTAAATAAAAATACATATAAAAAATAGTTATAAGATGATTTTTATTGTGCTTTTTTTTTTCTTTTTTCTCTCTTCATTGGTTAGTTCTGACTGGGTTGGAGCAGCAGATAGCTGTAAGGTGATGACTGTGTCAGGTACTGTGCTGGGCATTTTTTGCAGGGGATTTGTTTTGGGGCTTTTAAAAAAATTTACACTAGTTTAGTAAATTAGATGTTTTTATTCATCTCAGCTTTGCACTTGAGTAACTGCTCATAAAAGTGAAAGAACTTGCCTGAGGCCACCACACTCAAGTGGTGGAGGTAGTATTTGAACCCAGGTCTGCCTGGCAGAAAGCTTCTGTCTCTTTACTACGTCACTACTCAGCACTAAAGACATCTTTTTCCTTCCTGCATATAAATTTTACTGCAGGAAAAGGAGACATAAATTAATCATATTAAAATGGAACTCTTGGGGCTGCCTGGGTGGCTCAGTGGCTTAAGCCTTTGCTTTGGCTCAGGTCATGATCTCAGGGTCCTGGGAATGAGCCCTGTATCGAGCCCTGTATTGGGCTCTCTGCTCAGCAGGGGGCCTGCTCCCCCCCCCCGCCCCGCCTCTCTGCCTACTTGTGTCTGTCAAATAAATAAAATCTTTAAAAAAAAAAAAAAAGAAAGAAAAGAAATAGAGCTCTTTTTAGTTCAGCATTCCTGAGATGTGTTCTGTCCTGTCTTTGGTGTGAGAGGTTGGGGTTGTAGATGGAGGGGTCGGGGCGAGGCTGTTGTGAAAGGAAGTTACAAGGAGACTTGACATCTGCATCACCTTATGTTGGCTCTCACGCTGTTGAGATGCCTGTGATTTTTCTTTTTTTACTCTTTCTCTTCTCTTTCCCCCGTTCTATTAGTCGGAATGCCCCTTTGTGACATTCACTACACTGTGAGTAAATTACGTCTTTCCTCATTGATGGACGGTGAGCTCAGTGAGAGCAGGGCTGTGTGTATCTTGCTCAGCACCTTTGGTGCTGAATAAAAATATTCCTAGTCGTCCAGATCTCTTTGGTTCCTAGGGTTGGATAGTGGGTTTTCCTGGGGTTGGATATTGGGTTAGGATAACAAGGGGTACTCTTATTGGTGGAGTGACCGGAAAAGATCAAAAGGAGTTTTGGAATATGGAGCAGAAGGAAGGAAATAGAAGTAAGGGGGAAAAGAAAAGGGTACAGTTGATAAAGAGGGTTGTTGTAGGTCTTCTCACTACAGGATGGGAAGCTGCAAGTTCTGTTGTATAAGGCAAAGGAGTGTGCAGGTGGGTTGTGTGGAAGGCCAAGCCAAGACTTGCTGGAAGACGTTGGCCGTGTGCTCTTCACTTTGAGTTGGGTGGATTAGGGCCTGATTTTTAACAGCTTTTACTGGCATTTGTGTAACATTTATTAATGATTTTTTTTTTTTTTTTCATATTTCTGGTCTGCTTAATCCAGTACTTAACTGGGAAGGAGACTGGTTGCAGAGTAGGAGGAATCCTAGTTAAAAGAAATGGTTTGACATCCTAAGCCATAGCTAAAGATTCCAGGCCTCTTTCTTAAAGTCGAGTAAAATTTCAGTGGACTGATGGGAGTAGGGAGCAAAGTTTTAAAACCTTTATTTTTATTATTTTTAAATTTTTTTTTTAGAGTAGGCTCTTCTTCCAATATGGGGCTTGAACGCACGACCCCAAGATCAAAAGTCACTTGTTCTGCCTACCAGCTGAGCCAGCCAGGCGCGCACCCTACCCCTGCCTTCTCTTCTAATCTCAGGTCTTACACTCCTCTTAAGCTTTGACATCCTCCTTCCTTGCTGCTTCTCAAACCTGTCCAGGTTCCCTGCTTTAGGACTTTCTACACTCGTGCTTTTTTTCTTCCTGGTACTTTTCCCACAGGTACCCACTAACTTGCTCTCTTACCTTCAAATCTCCAATGTCATGCTGTGTTTGAGGCTTTCCTTTGACCTCTGTGAAAAACACGTTCCCTGCCCTCCCCCATACCTCTGCATTATTTCTTACTGTACCACCATCTGGCATTCTCTGTGTCCTGTCTACCCTCATTGGAAATTTAAGTTCCATGAAGGCAGGGACTTGGTTTTGTTCATTGTTGTATCTCTAGTGCCTGGAACAACAGTGCCCAGAACTAGCACTTCCCTTCTACGTGGGACAGTGTTTCCATTGTCTCTTCATACCACTTTTCACTTAATCTTAATTCTTCCAAAGTTTTTGAGGTTCCAGCTCAACTCCTAGCTCAGAAAAGACACTTTTAATCATCTCCTAGTAGCTGTTGTGTAGAAACCAATTTTCTGTTTTTACTTCTGTGAAGTGACTTAACATGGACTTCTTTGATCCAACTCTGTTTAAGAGAATCCTTTGGAAAAATGTTAATAACCCACAAGCGTGTGTTAGTTCCTAATGTTTTTTGTTTGTTTTTTGTTTTTATTTGCTTTAAAATTCTAGGAATTGAAGCCATTTTTTATGAAGGAAGTTGGCAGTCACTTTGATGATTTTGTGACCAGTCTCATTGAAAAATCAGCATCCTTAGACAATGGTGGGTGTGCTATCACAAGCTTTTCTGTTCTTGAAGGAGAGAACAACCACAGAGCTAAGTAAGTATGAGTATTAGTTTCTTTTAGTGCAGACATGTTCTCTGATAATGCTCAGCAGTCGGAATCAGAACTGCAGTAAAAATGCCTGGTTTCACACCGTGGTGCCACTTTTTATTAGCTCTGTGTTGCCTTGGGCAAATTAACCACTTGAAAGGTGGATTTCTTCTTCTTTTGTTTTTTTTTAAGATTTTATTTATTTATTTGACAGACAGATCACAAGTAGGCAGAGAGGCAGGCAGAGAGAGTGGGAGGCAGGCTCCCTGCCGAGCAGAGAGTCCCGTGCGGGGCTGGTGTGGGGCTTGATCCCAGGACTCTGAGGTCATGACCTGAGCCAAAGGCAGAGGCCCAACCCACTGAGCCACCCAGGCACCCCGGGTTTCTTCATCTTAATATGAGGATTATAATAAATCTGGACCTCATTTAAGACTGTGTTGACTTACAGAACAAAAGAGCCAACACATGTTGCACGCTCTACATTTAAACCAATGAGTCCACGAGGTAGGTACTAGAACTGCTTGCCGCAAATTAGGATGCTGAAGTGTGGGACATTTACATGTCCAGGATCATACGGTGGGTATTGGAAGCCAGAGCCTTGCTCAGGAGTCCATGCCCTTTGTCACATCAGTAAAGTGCCTCTTTTTTGTACTCTATCCAGTACTTAGAGTAAAGTTCAGTGCAGTTGGTGTATATGTTTCTGATTGGTCGGGCATCCAGAGCAGCAGAAGGAAAGCTATCAAAGGCCAATATGCGCTAATAGCCATTCTGTGCTCTCTCCAATTTTATGCCCCAGTGGTCTCTGACAGTCATGTTCTGGATTACAGTTTGACCACTAATAGTTGACAGAGTGGGTGGTTGTGCAGAAAGCCCTAAAAAAGGTAATAATGCTAGATATTCACTATGTGAGATTTTAGTAACTGGAGGCAACCTATAAGATCAGGAGGCTGTTAGGGATTGTTGGGAGTCCTTTGATATTAGGGAGGGTGAAGGTCTCATAAATTTTCGTGCAGTTTCAGAGGACAGACCAGTAACAGCCTGTGAACTGGAGTATGGCTAGAGGCCTATCTCTTACCTTAGCGATGTTTAGGAGAAGGAAGAGGGGTTGCCAGTGTTTGATGCCAGGAATGTGTTTCCACAGGGGCTGGGCTGCGGTGTGCTTCTGAGTGCCGCTCTCCTGGGGTGTGCTTAACGTCTCTTCCTTCTCACCAGATCTGCATGTATCTACCTCATTGCATTTTTCAGGAGTAAATGACATGCATAAAACCCTTCATACCTGGGTCAGAGTGAGAAGGTGCTTTATTACATGCTTTAGTTGGTAATATTCCTTCTCTTAATGCATAGGTTTAAATGTCTTAAAATACTTGAAGTATTTATATTTTATTTTAATTTTTTGCTCTTCCTAGAGATTTCAGAGCACCTCCAGAACATGGAAAGGTTTTTGTTCTAAGGCAGTCTCTCTTAGAGTGAGTATTTTTAGTTGCTTTTATTAATTATAAGTTTGAATTAAAAACTACTCTGATTATTAAAATCACTGCTTAATCTATGCATGTTTAGTGAGATTGTTCTGAATTCATGGAAATCATTAGTTTTGGTACGTATTGTACATTTGCTGTCTTGCTCCTCCTTTGTGATTTTCTGGTTCTTTATGTAGTTTCAAAGGCGGGTTTAGAGGTGAACATGGTTATCTGTCCCCTGACAAATTTCTTGAAGTCGTATATACAGAAAATCGGTTACCCAAAAAGCTAGAACAAGCGTTTTCTAATTAGGTACTCTGCTCATGAGTGTTTTGGTGTTGCTGTTTCTTGGTATATTATGTATTTTTTATCTCTTATTTGGCTAGCTAGCTTAGAAACCTGATAGTTTTCTCAGACTTACTTTAAAACCCTGATTGTGTGAATTTTATAGAGAAAATTAGGCAGTATAAATTACTTATGGGACCTCATGTGTGAACGGAAAAAGATGTGCTTTGGGTAGGCAATGAGTATTTCTTTTGTACTATTCTCTGAGTAGATCATTTATTTATTTACTCAGTCGTTCCTCAGAATACTGCTGCAGTTTCACCTGTGTTAGGATAGGTCATCTGAAATAGTTGGGCTGGTGAAAATTACCTTGAGTGTCTTAATGTGCTTATTTATTTGTCAGTGAGAGAGACAGAGAGCACACAAGCAGGCAGAGTGGCAGGCAGAGGCGCAGAGAGAAGCAGACTCTGCTGAGCAAGGAGCCTGATGTGGGACTCGATCCCAGGAGCCTGGGATCATGACCTGAGCCAAAGGCAGTGGCTTAACTGACTGAGCCCCCCAGGCATCCCTTAATGTGCTTTTTTAAAAACAACATCTTACATTTATCATAGTTTACTTTCTGTATGCCACCTTGATCTATATTTGATGAGAAGGCCATATATCTAGGGGAAGATAAATTATTTTGAACATTATAAGATTGTAATGATAGAATTGTACTAAAAAAGAGCACTTAAAAAAAAAGTTATTTATTTACTGGAGAGAGAGAGACAGATAGCCAGAGACAGCAGGAGCAGGGATTAGAGGGAGAAGCAGGCTCCCTGCTGAACAGGGAACCCATGGTTGGGGCTCAGTCCCAGGACCCTCTAACCATGACCTGAGCTAAAGGCAGATCCTCAACCGACTGAGCCACCCGGGCGCCCCTAAAGTATACTTCAATTACAAAGCTTTTTATTTTTTTATTTTTTAAAGATTTTATTTATTTATTTGAGAAAGAAAATGAAGGCATGCAAGCATGAGAGAGGAAGGTCAGAGGGAGAAGCAGACCCCCTGCTGAGCAGGGAGCCTGATGTGGGACTTGATCCCAGGACTCCAGGATCATGACCTGAGCTGAAGGCAGCTGTTCAACCAATTGAGCTACCCGGGCGCCACTAAAGTATACTTCAATTACAAAGTTTTCTTTTTTTTTTAAGATTTTATTTATTTATTTGACAGATCACAAGTAGGCAGAGAGGCAGGCGGTGGGGAGGTGGTTGTGGAGAAGCAGGCTCCCCGCTGAGCAGAGAGCCCAATGAGGGACTCGATCCCAGGACCCAGGACCTGAGCCGAAGGCAGCGGCTTAACCAACTGAGCCACCTAGGCGCCCCTACAAAGCTTTTTAAAAGAGATTTTATTTATTTTAGAGAGAGAGAGAGAGAGTGCGTGCACATGTGCCAGTTGGGAGAGGGGTAGACGGAGGAGGGAAGCAGAGTCCCTGCTAAGCACAACACCCTGCCAGTGCCCTGCTGGAAAGAAAGGCTAAAAAGAACAATACCACCTCACACTAGTTAGAATGGCTAAAATTAACAAGACAGGAATAACAGATGTTGGCGAGGATATGGAGAAAGGGGAACCCTCTTAACACTGTTGGTGGGAATGCAAGCTGGTGCAGCTCCTCTGGAAAACAGTATGGAGGTTCCTCAAAAAGTTAAAAAATAAAGCTACCCTATAACCCAGCAATTGCACTATTGGATATTTGCACCAAAGATACAGATGTAGTGAAAAGAAGGGGCACATGCACCCTATAGCAGCAATGTCCACAATAGCCACACTGTGGAAGCAGCCGAGATGTCCTTCAACAGATGAATGGGTAATGATGTGGTTCATATATACAATGGAGTATTACTCAGGCATCAGAAAGGATGAATACCCAACTTTTGCATCAACATGGTTGTAACTGGAGGAGATTTTGCTGACTGAAATAAGTCAATTATCACAGGGTTTCAGTAATATGTGGGATATAAGAAATAGTGCAGAGGACAGAAGGGAGGGAAAACTGAATGGGAAGAAGTCAGAGAGGGAGAAAAAACCATGACAGAATCTTGACTCCAGGAAACAAACTGACGGTTCTGGAAAGGGAAGTGGGTGGGGGGCTGGGGTAACTGGGTGATAAACTTTAAGGAGGGCGCATGGTGGAACACTGGGTGTTATATGCAACTAGTGAATCATTGAACACTGTATCAAAAACTAATGATGTACTTACTATATGTTGGCTAATTGAATTTAAATTAAAAAAATTTAAAAAAAAGCTAAATCTCTACCACGACTACTGAGATCATGACCTGAGCTGAAACCCAGAGTTGGATGGATGCTTAACCACCTGAGCCATCTGAGCACCCTCCTAAAACATTTTTTTAACCAGGGAAGTAAAACACATATTTTATGGCTCAGGTTGATTTTTACTGGAATTTGAAGATCCTTAATCCGGGTAATCTAAAATATCCTTGAAAAGTTAGTGTAGATGTGAGCACACATCTTGGCAAAAACAAAGCTAAAAAAATTTGTTTCAGTGAAATATATAAAAGTACCTCTCCGAGAAAATGTCATCTGGAAAGTCGTTGCTCTATTTTGGAAATAGCCCTGTTTTAATCAAATAAAAAGATAGGTGAGGATAGAAAATAACAATATTTGTAAATGGTTAAGTTTATAGACATGTAGGGTAGTAGTTGGATTATAGAATAGCACTTAATAGTAGTTAGGTATAGGGGGTGGAATGTAATATGATTAAAGACAAACACTTGTTAACATTTGGAATAGTTTTTGTGTTTCCTGTTTTGCCTACCTGAGAAGCACTCACTTTTGGCAGGTTTTCAAAAATGCTCCCCATTTGCTTTAAGTGTTTGATATCCATACTGTTCTCTAGGGGTAGTATCATTTTATTGGAAAGAGCCTTACCCTAAGCTTTTACATTCAGTTTTTACCTTGGCTGTGGCATTTATGGTCTGTGCTTCACATTTAATATTCTGTGATTCCTCTTGGAGATGTTTAGTCATGATTACTATTTGAGGGTGGGTTAAGAATGTGCTGAACTGCCTTAAAGACTTTAATGTATGGTATTTTAAAATGAAATACAATTTCATTGTTCAAACTGTATTTACAGTGAGCTGTTTGAGGTGGACCACATCAGAACAATCTATCACATGTTTATTGCCCTCCTCATTCTGTTTATCCTCAGCACACTCGTTGTAGATTACATTGATGAAGGAAGGTAAGACAAGAAAAAAGACTTTGGCTAGTTGATGCATGGGGTGTTGGGAGTTTTCATGGTATTTAAATTGTGGTAAATTTTGGTGTTTCGGGTGAATTTGCTTCAGAAAATCGCAAAGCAGCTGATTGGAGGGTGATATTCTTTTCTCCCAAAAAGGACAACTAAAGGAATATTAGAAGTTTTAATACTTTTATTTATTTATTTTTTTACCTTTATTTTTAAAATGGTCTATTTTAGGAGTCCATAATTGGTAGTTTCTAGGTAATTTCCAGATGGGAGAATTCTGTATATATGATTTAAAAATTTTCTCGCTGTGGTATGCATTTCAGGTTATTATAAAAAATAAGGAGCTTATTAGAATTTCATGTTTGAAAAACTTTTTTTTTTTCTTTTAAAGATTTATTTTTTAGGGGGAGAGAGTGCATAAGCATGTGTGCGTGAGTCGGGGGTGGGGCAGAGGGTGGGGGTGGGGGAGAGAGAGGGCGGTGGGGAGGAGTCTGAAGCAGACTCCAGATTGTAGGTGGAGCCTGACTCAGGGCTCCATCCCAGGACCTGGAGATCATGACCTATGCTGAAACAGTCAGACACCCAACTGATTGAGCCACTTAGGTGCCCTGAAAAACTTTTCTTTTTAATATAAAAGTGAAATAAAACTTAAAAAATGACAGTGTGGTAATCATCCACCAAATTATGTACATTATTAGAAAATTATATTTTGAGGTAATGGTATAATAGTGTATTAATAATAGATTTTTGAATTCTTTTTTCTGAAAAATCATCTTTTTTTTTTTTTTTAAAGATTTTATTTATTTATTTGACAGAGAGATCACAAGTAGACAGGCAGGCAGAGAGAGAGGAAGGGAAGCAGGCTCCTGGCTGAGCAGAGAGCCAGATGCGGGGCTGGATCCCAGGACACTGGGATCATGACCTGAGCGGAAGGCAGAGGCTTAACCCACTGAGCCACCCGGGCGCCCCCTGAAAAATCATCTTTTGAACATAGGTGATCGCTGTTTGAATACTTTTATGTATTAGATTATCTTAAGAGTTTAAAATTTATTAATGATAGTCTCTAATCACTGCTTAAAGTTTTATTATTTTAGGTTATCTTGGGTATCTTATGTTCAAATACTATATTACCTTAGGACTTTTAGAATATTTATTGTTGGGTTATATTGTGAAGCAGAGGCTTAGAAGCACCTTTTCTTCTCGTACAACTTTACCCTCATGACCACGATGATGTTGTGTTTTCTAAGTTTGAGAGTTCTAGGTGTGAAAGTTTTTTGAGTTTTGAGTTTTGAGTTCTGTGAGTCAGTCAGTGCATATTGAAAATTTACTTTTGTGCTCTTTCTCTGTGCTTTTTCTCCCTAGGCTGGTGCTCGAGTTCAGTGTCCTGTCTTATGCTTTTGGCAAACTTCCTGTTGTTATGTGGACGTGGTGTACCATGTTCTTGAGTACACTTGGTGTTCCCTATTTCCTCTTTCAACGTTGGGCCAGAGGTTATAGCAGGAGTACTCACCCAGTGGTCCATTCTCTCTTCCACTGCTTCCTTTTCATGGTCTTCCAGATTGGCGTTCTAGGTTTGGGACCAACGTATGTTGTATTAGCATATACGCTACCGCCAGCTTCCCGGTGCATTGTTATACTTGAACAGGTAAGGTTTTGAGGATTGCCCGATGCAATGCTATGTTTTGTTAAAAGAATAATACTGGTATTCTGTTACTTTCAATTGTATTAGTTGGGTCAGTTTTCCTGTTCTTCATGCTATTATTTATAAAATTAAAGTTTTAAACTAGATCATCTCATGTCTTAAAATTCATACTAGCTTCAGTGTTCTTTGATTCTTGGTAATGAAATTATATTGAGCTGTTTAGGATGAATTCAGATTTTATTCTTGAACACTTTGTAGAAGTCATTTATTTATTTTTATTTATTTATTTATTTTGTAGAAGTCATTTATATGATAAAGTTGTTTTGTAGTTAAAAACTCTGCCTTTGAGGTTATCAGATTCATTGTTTTGTCATATAAACTGTTCCCGTCTAAATAAAGGATTTATTTTGTTTATATACCCTTCAGAATTTTTGGACTTAAATTGGCTGGCTGTTAATGCTCTGAAGGACTGTTGAAGGAGACTGTCTTTGAACAGGCTTTTAATTTCTTATTGTAATATAACTATAATAGATAGTGCTGTTAGATGCAGAATAATTTGAGTAATAACTTGTCCTTGTTTACACTTTGTTTTTCATTTGTTTTATTGCATAAACATGAATTCGAGTTGGTGTATGCAAAATTAGGAAGTTCTTCATATGATTTAGTGCTGTTCTGGGGTTGCTTATAGGAGACAAGACAATGGCAGAAAGTTCATCTTTTTTTCCTCTCCCCTTCTTTTGTAGATTCGTTTCGTAATGAAAGCCCATTCATTTGTCAGAGAGAATGTGCCTCGGGTACTAAATTCAGCTAAGGAGAAATCAAGTATGTAATTTCATTAGGTCAAGGATTATTCAATGGATTATTTCAAACTTTGTATTTAGTGGGATGGCGTTTTACATTCTGTAGATGTTATGTTGGATTTTAAAGATGTAGGATCCATATTGATTTGGAAGACTATCTCACTATTTCTTCATTGTCCCCATTTCGTCTTTGTACCTACAATTTAAAAACACTGATCACCAGAGTGTTAAGCTTTACCTTACTTTCATAGAGTGTTAATAGACTCATTACCCCCATGTGTGCTTACTCTTTGAATTGCTGCTTCAAACTCTAGAAGGTATTTCTAAGTCACAGAAATAGCTTAGTTTAGAGGGATTGATAATACTGAATCAATATAAGGGTAAGAAGTCACTCTGGGAGATAAGAAATGATAGGAACTAAGAGAAGTCATTTTTTTACTCTTCCCTATTATATGCTTGCTTATTTCTCCCTTTTAGTTTTGCCAGGAAAAACTGAAGAGTGTCTGATCTAACCAGAGTTTCCCTTTTCCAGAAACGATTCCAATACCCACAGTCAACCAGTACCTGTATTTCCTGTTTGCACCTACCCTCATCTACCGTGACAACTATCCCAGGTATCTGTTCTGTGAACCAGAAATGTGTTGAGCAGCAGAAGTGTAGCGTGAATGAGGTGGGATAGGTAGGCAGGGGCCAGTTCATGTAGGGTTACAAAGAACATAAAATGAGTTTTAATTTTCTTGCTGGCTTGGGAAAGCTCCAGATGGTGGTGATTCTAGCAATCCAGTTTGATTATGGTGATTCTTGACAGAATTATACAGGCATTCCACATGGGAAAAATGATGTGTTCTCTGTGGAAAAAACATTACGAGGATCTTTTATTAAAGTACAACTTACTTTATTTAGAAAACTTATTTTCTTTCTTTCTTTTTAGGACTCCCACTGTAAGATGGGGTTATGTTGCTATGCAGTTTTTACAGGTGCGTTTTTTCTTTAATCACTAAGATTTGTAGATTAGTGGGACATGGAGATTCAAATTTATAATAATAATTTATTTAGAGTGTTGGTAAATTCATGTCTACTGGGAACTTTAGACCTCTTTCTAAAGTCTTTTAAATTCTTTACCAGTCCAGTAGATGGTCTTTGTCTTGCCAACGTCAGAAGCAATTTCCTTCAGTAAAAGAGTTTAAATTCTTTCTGTTTGGTTACTTCAGTAAGCATCTACATTAATTCCCCCCGCCTTTACTTTTTTTTTTTTTTAAAGATTGTATTTATTTATTTGACACAGAGATCACAAGTAGGCAGAGAGGCAGGCAGAGAGAGAGATCACAAGCAGGCAGGCAGAGAGAGAGGGTGAAGCAGGCTCCCCGCTGAACAGAGAGACCGATGTGGGGGCTCCATCCCAGGACCCCAGGATCATGACCCGAGCCAAAGGAAGAGGCTTTAACCCACTGAGCCACTTAGGCTCCCCTCCTTACGTTTTTTTATTTTGGGATATATTGTGGGTATGTTGTGACAGCTTCCCCATTGCCACCCCTGCCCTTCTCCATCAGAATCATAAGTCCCAGGAGATCCATTTTAAACTTTTTTTTTTTTTTTTAAGATTATTTATTTATTTATTTGACAGATAGAGATCCCAAGTAGGCAGAGAGGCAGGCGCAGAGAGAGAGAGAGAGAGGAGGAAGCAGGCTCCCCGCTGAGCAGAGAGCCCGACTTGGGGGCTCGATCCCAGGACCCCAGGATCATGACCCGAGCCGAAGGCAGAGGCTTTAACCCACTGATCCACCCAGGTGCCCCGCCCATTTTAAACTCTTAATCTCAATTGGACACCCAGGTGGTAAAGGGTTGGGAGAAGATTATGACAGAAACTAGCTGTGTAACGTCTCTGAAGGATTGCAGTCTGGCAGTCTTACATACTTAAGAACATACATATGAACGTTAGTCTAAGGGTCACATATCTATCTTCCTTTGAAGGAAAAACAATCACCGTCTTTCCTTATATCAATCCATCAGTATTACAACTATATCTCTGTTATATTCTAGGTTTTTGGTTCCTTTTTTTATGTGTACTACATCTTTGAAAGACTCTGCGCCCCCTTGTTTCGGAACATTAAACAGGAGCCCTTCAGCGCTCGTGTTCTGGTCCTATGTGTATTTAACTCCATCTTGCCAGGTAACATGGGTACTGGTTAATGTGGCCATTCATGAAGTTGTGAGGAAAAAAAGCTGTTGCACAGGCACAACTTTGATTTTCCTGCTTTTTGCTCTGAAGTCATCTCTACATCTGTCCTCATCTCGACTTCTTTCCGTCTGTTTTCGTAAGTGAGTATACTTCCAGGTTCAGGCCAGTCTTTCTCTTTGTCTTCTTTCATTCAAGTTTTGCTTTTTTTGGCTGTGGGTAGTCCATATTTATGCCTGATCTTCCTGTTCAGTCTTCAGTCCATTGTAATTTTGCTACTAATCAGCCAGGATGCTGATGGCCTTTACTGAAGTCTCTCCTGATTCTAAATCTGGTAGATGGTTTAGCCCTTATTTGGTTTCATCTGCATGAAGCATTGTTTGCATCCACAGTGTGAAATTTCTCTCTTGCTACTCATTCTCTTTCTCCTTTCTTTCTGGCCATTGCTCAGTCTCCTGACTTGATTCATATTTTTTTCTAGAGGTACATGAGTACCTATCATGTGCCAGGGGTTGAGGACCTACCTACCAGTGAAGAGGACATAACATGCTCTTTATTCTCTGGAAGCTTGCAGTTCAATTGCATTTACAGTTTCCTTTACTTACTCTCTTTTCTCTACCTGTCAGATGTTGGTCATGTTTTCTGTTACCTTCTTTCTTCCTTAACCTCCGTCCCAGACTCCTAGGTAACCCTCCCTGATTGCCCCTCCCAAATTGACTCCAATAAATTATTTTATCTGTCCCTTTAACAGAATATGTATTAAATACATATCTTCTTCACTAGGCTACAAATTCCTTGAGATCAAGAATTGTGTTTTAACAGTGACCCAGTCTTTCCCATATTGTCTAATGCATAAGAGATGATCCATAAATATCTTTTGATATTTTTTGAATAGACAGGTGAATGAAAGGGACGGGCATAAAAATGGCTCTTTTGCAATGTAGTGTAGTAAGTAGGATAAGCAAAGTGCTGACGAACTTTGTATCATATTGGATATGACATTTAATATTGGGTATTGAGAAATAGGTGTTTGGCAGAGAAGTAGTGGAAACATGCTTCTAGGTAGTGGTTGGAAGCAAAGGCATGGAGTATCTCAGAACGGCAGAAGTCCAGGTATGGACGATGTTTACAACACTGGGAATAGAGTCAGAGATAAGGTAACCTTGTCACTGTATATTTAGGGGGCTGTCTTGCACATTATAGGATATTTAGCAATATCCTTCCTCTAAAAACTAGATACCAGTAGTATGACGCTTACCCCTTGAGTTGTGACAACGAAAAGTGTCTGCAGAATTGTCAGATGTTCTCTAGGGGACAAAATCTCCCACAGTTTACAGCACCTCGTTTAGAGGAATGCACGAGGGCCATATGTTGAAGGGCTTTGGGTACCACGTTAAGCCATACATCAGGCGTTTCCATTCAAAACAGGCTGGGTCATTTGTTATCTATAAAACCCACTTGGCAGGAATTTAATGCTTTCTAAAATTAAAAAAACTTCCAAAGAACATGGTGTCACTCTTGAATGGGTAAGCTAGAACAGTAACTTTTATTTTACAGAATAATTCTAGCTTTTAAGCACATCATGACATAAAATTAACTGCTTTGCGTGAGCTATTTGGAAAAGACTCTTAATATCGTTAATCTTATTTTTAGGTGTGCTGGTACTGTTCCTCATGTTTTTTGCCTTTTTACACTGTTGGCTGAATGCTTTTGCTGAGATGTTACGCTTTGGTGACAGGATGTTTTATAAGGTAATGCATACTTGGACTCCTTTCTTTGCACATTTTATTTGTGCACTTAACATCCTCATTGTTGAGTATTTGAACATCGTTGGCTACTAGCTTTTTAGCATAAACATTGTGAAGTTCTTTTTCCATAAGTTTTACCAGTATTAATTCTGAGATTCTGATGTTGATATGCTTAGCACAGGCTCACAGCCTTATCTTCTACCTCTAATATCTGTTCTCTTGAAAAAGCATATGGTTTCTGTTGGATCCTGTATCGGTGGGAAGGTGTGTGTTCAGAGGGCATCATGAGACTTCGCAGATCATTCTTTTGGAATTGACTGTCTGGTGCTGTAGGAGTGATCTTAGCAAATTATTTAAGACTGTTGAATAGTTCATAAAGGAAATAACTTTTCCCTCCTTTGTTTTGAAAGACATTAATTATACTTAAATAGTATTCTCACACAGTTGGAATTAAGCTCTAGATGAGACAGGGTGTTCATAGTGTTCTGTAATGCTGCGTAAAGCCCTCTAGGGTTCTGTTTGTTTGTGGTGGTTCTGGTAACACCCAGAGCCTTGCACTCCTTTCTCCAAGAAATGGGGGTGTCTATTGCAGCATCTGTCTGATTCCATGGGTCTGATATTAAGATCAGGAGGGATATGTTACAGGTAACCATTGTCTCACTCCTTGTACAATGTAAATTTTGTCATTTATGGTACCAGCGGGGCAGTTCTTAGAATTCTCTCCCTGTGTTTTAGCAATGTAAGGGGATATACTGATCACTATTTAGGTGAACCTTAGATTTAATGATTCTCTATGTTCTGTATCTTCGATCATAACTTTTTTGATAATGGGACAAAGTAAAGTTGGGGACTTCATCATATATGGAACTAAAATTCATATATTGAGCACTAATAACCAAAATGCCTTTTAAGATTTTTCTGACATCAGCGTATAGACTAACGGATTGTCGTAACACATTCTGGATATTATTTTGTGTGTGTATGTTCTTTAGGAATATTCAGGGGGTTTTGCTTTGGTTGTGTGTGTGTATGTGTGTGTGTGTTTGTGTAGTTCTAAACCTTTGTTTTTTTTCCTCAGGATTGGTGGAACTCCACATCATACGCTAACTATTACAGGACCTGGAATGTTGTGGTTCATGACTGGTTGTATTACTATGCTTACAAGGACTTTCTCTGGGTTAGTGGCAAGATACAGTTGATGTGAAAGAAATAGAGATCCTTTTCCAGAAAGTTTGTTGTGTTGTTATTTTTTTTTTTTTTTTAAGATTTTATTTATTCATTTGACAGAGATGACAAGCAGGCAGAGAGAGAGAGGAGGAAGCAGGCTCCCCGCGGAGCAGAGAGCCCGATGTGGGGCTCGATCCCAGGACACTGGGATCATGACCTGGCCGAAGGCAGAGGCTTTAACCCACTGAGCCACCCAGGCGCCCCTGTTGTGTTTTTTTTTTAAGATTTTATTTATTTATTGGATAGAGATCACAACTAGGCAGAGAGAGGGGGAGGAAGCAGGCTCCCTGCTGAGCAGGGAGCCTGAGGTGGGGCTTGATCCCAGGACTCTGGGATCATGACCTGAGCCGAAGGCAGAGGCTTTAACCCACTGAGCCACTCAGGTGCCCCTCCAGAAAGTATTATTCTGCAGCTAGAAGTGGTCTTCATTTCTCTGTGGGCCATTTATGTCTAAGACAGCTGACGCTTTGGACAGTACTGCTTAGAGACCAGTATGAACAGTGATGAGATCTAATACCACAGTTGTGCTCTGGGTTTATTTCACACAATTATGAAGTAAGAACGCATGGAGGCATATAGAGAAGGTGAAATGATCCGTCGGTAATGGATCATTTCTTATGAATCTCATTGCTAGTAAATAATCTCCGTCTAGCTTTTTTGTTTTTTTGTTTTTGTTTTTGTTTTTTTTTTTTTGTTTCTCTGCTAAAGTAGGGAAACACTTAGTTTGGATTTATATCTCTCCATTGGTGATACGTGTCTTTGAGATACTCTTTAGAATGGAATGTTATGTAGACTAATGACTGTCATGATTGATGATCCCTGGTATCTCTGGATTGCAGGTTTTGGTTATTAAGTCACTATTTGGCTAAGTGATTGCATGACATAGTTCAAACAGTGCTGTAGTCAAGCGTTCTTTCATTCATAAATGTGGTGTCACTTAAAGGTCTGTAGTGCAGATGGAGAGGATGTGTGCCTTTTCCACCATACCGTGTTACTCTAAAGGTTGAGATTTGATATGTCCATTTATATATGAAAACTATGTTTTGTCTACTGTAATGATTTACAAATACAGGTTACAGGTAGGTTTTTAAAAATATGCCCAGTTTTTCCAACATGAATGGTTTTGACAGTGCCTCATTTTAGTAAAATAAGGATTTTAAGCGTAGATTTTTTTTGTAATTATTTACTACATTTTTTTTTAAGATTTTATTTATTTATTTGACAGAGATCACAAGTAGGCAGAAAGTCAGGCAGAGAGAGAGGGGGAAGCAGGCTCCCTGCTGAGCAGAGAGCCCGATGTGGGGCTCGATCCCAGGACCCTGGGATCATGACCCGGGCAGAAAGCAGGGACTTTAACCCACTGAGCCACCCAGGCGCCCCTATTTACTACATTTGGATTAACCCAAGGAGTAGATTGGAAAAATCAAATATAAACATAATAAAATAGGTGCCTTTAGCATGTGATAATTATAAGTCTTATATACAGTTGACTCTTGAACAACAAGTGGGGTACGGGTGCTGACCCTCCCATGCCGGGGGAAAATCTGCATGTAATTTTTTGAGTCCCCCAAAACTTACCTACTAATCACCTACTATTGACTGGAAACCTTACTGATAAACAGTTGGTTAACATGCATTTGTATGTTCTGTGTATTATATACTATATACTTAGAATAAAGCTAGGGAAAAGAAAATGTTGCTAAGAATATGATAAGGAGAAATACATTTACTGTACTGTGCTGTATTTTTTAAATAATTTTTTATTTTTTATTAACATAAAATGTATTATTAGCCCCAGGGGTACAGGTCTATGAATCGCCAGGCTTACATACTTCACAGCACTACCATAGCACATACCTTCCCCAGTTGTACTGTGCTGTATTAATTGAATAAGTGGCCCCGTGCAGTTCAAACCTGTGTTGTTCAAGGGTCGGCTGTGTCTACTTTGGGCTTAATTACTTTTTAAAAAATTGCTTTTTCATATTCTCCTTTTACCCTAGTTTTTCACCAAGAGGTTCAAGTCGGCTGCCATGTTAGCTGTCTTTGCTGTGTCTGCTGTAGTGCACGAATATGCCCTGGCTATTTGCTTGAACTTTTTCTATCCGGTGCTTTTCGTGCTCTTCATGTTCTTTGGAAGTAAGTATCTGGGCCTGCTGAGAGTACTGAGGGTCGCGCTAAAAGAAATGTAGACGATGACGTCTAAGGCACGGCGGACAACTAGATCATAGCAATAGCATTTCAAGGCAGCGTTTATCAGACAGTCACAGCATTGACTTTGAGTAATTAACCACGCTCTGGCACATGGCGCTCATCCTATGAAGAAGAGAAATGAACTTAAGTAGCCTCTTGAAGACTAATGATAACACTGATTTGGGAGGTCATGAAGACTGTAAACAAGGTCCACACTCTGTTAGTGTTCACCCCAGAAAAACATGGACCCTTGTTTGGGTGCGTGGAGGGAAGAACAGGTTCAAATACGAATGATTCCATGAAATATATTTTCACCTGCTCTGAATATTCTCTGATTTCTTGTTAATCACTGATTAATAAATTTCAACACTTAAAGCTTCATTTTTAAAAATTTTTAAATTATTTTTAAAGATTTTATTTATTTATTTGACAGACAGAGATCATAAGTAGGCAGAGAGGCAGGCAGAGAGAGAGGGGGGGCGGGAAGCAAGCTCCCTGCCGAGCAGAGAGCCCCACGTGGGGCTCGATCCCAGGACCCTGGGACCATGACCCGAGCCAAAGGCAGAGGCTTTAACCCACTGAGCCACCTAGGCGCTGTGAAGCTTCATTTTTACTTACAGTACCAGTAGTCAGAGTAAAAACCTGTATACCCATAGTTGATGCTCATTGTGATAACAACATGATTACAGCACATGTCTTAGGCCCCTTGTTTCCTGATAGATGATGTTGTGATAACTATATATATTTTTTATCATTCTAACTTTAGTGGCTTTCAACTTCATTGTCAACGACAGTCGGAAGAGGCCAATTTGGAATGTTATGATGTGGACTTCCCTTTTCGCGGGCCATGGCGTCATCCTGTGCCTTTATTCCCAAGAGTGGTATGCACGTCAGCACTGTCCTCTCAAAAATGTGAGTCTTCGGTTAGGCTGGAGTGGAAAAGTAACGTTTTTGTCCCCTGATTGTGAGGCTTCGTAGGCAGTATTAAGAAGAAGAGTAGTGGAAATGATGCTGAATTAAGGCTAAGGGGAGGTAAATAAGGAGGAAAAGGATTAGGTTATTATCTGATCTTACTGTACTGGCTTTGAAATTTTTTTCTCTCTGGTTTTCTTTACATTGAATGTTCCTAGTTCTTGGTTCTCTCTCTTTCTTTTTTTTTTCTTTTTCACTGTGTTTTGTTTTGTTTTGTTTTAAAGGGTCTTCTGATTTCCTTCCTGTGTCCTGAAAATGTAGGTGTTCTGCAGGGTCTTCTCAGTGGCATGTAGATGCCCCCTCTGCCACCACCTACATACACATACATGTATTTCTTCCCTCTTCCTTCGTAGAGTAATAAACTCTTTGTGAAAATGTCCAGCTATACTCCTATGTCTAAGATCCCATTTCCCTTGACCTTTGTTGTTGTGGTTGTTTGTAATTATGTAAGAGTCTTATTTTTAAATCTTTCACTTCTAGTTGCATACGGATAACTCCCAAATATTTAGGGGGCACCTTCTTGGTATTTCTGACTATTTCTCACAGGTACCTGTAACTGAAGACCCCTATAGGCAAATTAATGTTTCTTTCCCAAAGCTTCTCCTGCTGTTTATCCTGTTTCTCTTATGCTGCCTTAATGCCTCCTCCTTTCCTCTTTATCCCCTTTGCGCATCTGAACTAGCTGCTTTGGGCTGTCTTTGGTAATGGTGCTCTCTGCACACTGAGTCCACCTGTCAGATTTTCTCAAAATCCACTTCGGATGCAGCATCTTCAAGCTTTTTCAAATTCTTGCTCCAGTCTTTTCCTGTTGGTGAACTTTCATAATGCTTTATGTGTTCTCATTTAGATAATTTAGTAATTCTAAACCTTGTATTATAGTAATTTGTGTATATATTTTATCATCCTTACCCTACCACAGTTTAGATGTTAGGCCACAAGCCGTAGGTCTGTGCTAAAATAAAATGCAAGATCCAGAAGAGAGGTAGTGCCTGTTTGGAATTTGGTTGGAAGTCCACGTAATTGTATAGAATTTACTGGACTTCAAAAGCTTTCTGTAAAACTTCTAAAGCACTATAATCTGTGTTACAGATAAAAATAATGAACATCTTTTTTTTTTTTTTTTTTAAGATTTTATTTATTATCTGACAGACAGAGATCACAAGTAGGCAGAGAGTCAGGCAGAGAGAGAGGAGGAAGCAGGCTCCCTGCTGAGCAGAGAGCCCAATGCGGGGCTCGATCCCAGGACCCCGGGATCATGACCTGAGCCGAAGGCAGAGTCTTTAACCCACTGAGCCACCCAGGCGCCCCCAAAATAATGAACATCTTTTAAATTAGCAAGCTGCTTATGGGTTAAAGGTTACTGAAATGATGGAGGCATTGTAGAGGTACGCAGTGTATAAAATTAACGCACCCCTGTCTACCCTGACACCTTGTGCACACATGTGTGCAAATAAACTACTCTTCCATTCTTCTTTCCCCATTGAAGCCCACATTTCTGGATTATATCCGGCCACGTTCCTGGACTTGTCGTTACGTGTTTTAGAAGCTTGGACTTTGTTTCATTCCTTGACACTGAAGATGGGTAATTCTGCCTGATTTGGGGCCAGCATCTGTTTCCAGTCGTTACTGAAGTTATCTGTGGTATTTGGATCACTCCGCGCTTTACAGATGGTTTGCTCCGTTCCTAGGTCAGCTGAGATGTTGCAAGTTTACTGGAATCTTGTGCACTTAAAGCAGTACTTTTTTTTTTTTTTTTTTTAAACCTTTTTGGGAGAAGGAGAAGGGAGACTTACAGCTGACAACAGTGACCAATTTTTGCTGGGTTTTGTTTTTGATTCCCATCTAAACATCATGACTAAACCCCCATGTGTCCTTGGCCACTGACTTCGCCAAAACACTTAACGAAGAAATAATTTAAATATTTTGGTCTTTGAAATTTTTTTCAGGCACACTGTTGGAATGTATGCTAATTAACTATGTACCTGGGAAAGAAAACAAAATAATGAGGAACATTTTGGCTATTTCTAATAGAGTGAAAATCTCTAGTTTCCGAAGATAATCTCGTTATGCCTCCTATTTGTTTTTTTTTTTTTTTTTAAAGTTCGTTCTACTCAGTTTTTACCTTGTTTTCTCTATGAAGTGTAGGTCATGATTTCTGTGAAGCAAAATTACACCTTTCACCTTGAATTCTTGAGTTTATATCTGAAATCTTACATATTGAGGGAACAGAAAGAAGTAGGAAGGGAAGGAGAGGGAAGTGGCACAGGACAAAGAAAAGACATTTCCTTTTACATCTTCCAAAGTAATTTTTAAAAAAGACTTGCTGAGTCAATCAAATGTTTAAGTTATTTTATCATGGAACTTAATGTGGAAGATAACTTTTTTTTGTTGTAAACGTTTTAAGGTGATAACTTTTAGGAAGTTATTTAGAAGTACTCTTTGGTATACTTATTGTTTAATAAATACTGACTTGAAATAGTTGGCAGACTAGTAAGTCTGTAACATACAAGTATTAATCACATTCCATTAATATTAAAGTGATTTTTAAAGATCCAGAAGCTGGCTTCTGCAGTGCTTAATTATTACACTTTTAATGGTAGTATGTATACTTTAGCTGAAACAAATTAATATGTTATCATTTTCAAGAAAATGTACTCTATTATGTGATGTTTCCATGTTATAAGATGCTCATTGCTAATACAGTGTGGTGTGCAGGAATTACTTTGTTTGTCTGTATGGGGTGTGATTATGTTTGTCAAGACCGAGCATTGAATGGGATCAGAGACGGAGTTGAATCTTCCACTCAAACAAGTGAGACTTAAGAATTACCCAAAAGGTGATTTTTATTTGGAGTAGCCAACCTGAGAGGCTATGTTGGTATTCTAATAGCCCTACTTCTATCCAGAAAGTTGTGGGACATCTTTCTAGAATTGTTTTAAAGTCAGTTTGAGTGTCATAAGGAGAATGGAGTTTCTTAGTCACAACTTAATTGTATCACAAGTACCCAGCCTCATTACCCATTTTTCTTCAGTATCTTTGATGCAGATGAGTTTGGGCAATTTTCAAACACCAAACCCAGCTTTAACAGATAGGCTTCTGGCTGTGACAGGAGGTTTTCACACATTCCCAGCAGTAACTGTCTATACAGTGGTGGTGTAATTGTGATGGAGCCATAACCTTCAAATGAGACTGCTTTATACTACATCTTGTAATTGCTGGTGTTTTTTTTTAAAGTTAAAATGAGTCAGTCACTTGAAATTTTTTTTTTTAATATTTTATTTATTTATTTGACAGAAATCACGAGTAGGCAGAGAGGCAGGCAGAGAGAGAGGGGGAAGCAGGCTCCGTGCCGAGCAGAGAGCCTGATGTGGGGCTCGATCCCAGGACTCTGGGATCATGACCTGAGTCGAAGGCAGAGGCTTAACCCACTGAGCCACCCAGGTGCCCTCAGTCACTTGAATTTATGACTACATTTTAAATATATTGAGGGAGTTAAGAAAACCAGATTGGTCTAAGATTTGTTCATGAGTGAGTCATCGCCTGAAGGGAGAGAATGAAACCCTCAAATCTGTGTTTCTGTTAAGTGCTGTAAATGTTGGACTCTCATTGCTCATTGATTTTTGTTGCTCTCTATCAATTCTGAATATTGTATTTGTTGGATTGATTAAGGCTGGTGGGTTTTTTGTTGATTTGCCTTTTTTTTTTTTTTTTAGCATGATTTCATCTTCCCTTTACTAGTTTTTTTTCCCCCCCTGCCCAAGACCTTGAAGTGACAACAAGGAATACTTAAAACTAAGGGTTCTTTAGAACCCTTAGACCTTAAGACTGCCATAAGAAATTTTCACAAATGCGTAAAGGAAGAGCTACTTTCTGTGACAGAAACTAGTTTGATAGCGATGGACTGCTAGCTGCTCATAGCAAAAGTCATTTTATTTAAACCACTATCTACACTCCTAAATAATTAAAACTTCTGATGTGTTTTAGGAAGATTTATTGACTTTTCCTCTTTTGCTTATAGGATGATACTTTTTTTGTTTTGAAAAGGAAAGCTTTTAAAACTTCTTTCCTATAAGAAGTATTAATGATAGTAGCCATTATTGTGGGTGTTTCCTCCAAGGCAACAACTATATCTCAAACTTCGTTTTAAAATCCGTTAGATGCTTTCATTCTCAGTCCTAGATAGTGAAGGAAAATGGAGTTGTTTGTTTTTGGTGGATTAACCTCCTACAATTGCCTAATAAGTGAAGTTGCTTGCTTTATGATAGAATTTAATTAGAAAATTCAGGCTGCTTTTAACCTTTCAGTAACTACTTTTTGATTTTGGAAGTATGAGGAGGGGGGGAAATGCCTTTTCCTTTTAGTTGTAGGGTAAGAGTGGGTGACATTGGCAGCTTAAGAGGGTACAGTATGTAAATAGTCTATAATTGGGAGCACAGATTGTTGCACAAGTCATTGATTTTGTGTAGGCGGTTTTCTTTGAATTTTAAAATTATACTTGGCCTGAAGAATGGAATCCTGAAGTCTTTAAAGAAAGCCTAATAGAACATTATGTATCTAAAAAGGTTTGTCATGTGGGCTATGTACCTAAAAAGATGTAATTTATGAATTGTTGAAGTCTTTTATGCAAAAAGATGTTTGTTTTATGTGGTCATGAGTAATTTTGAGTAAAGCTCATTATTTTGTAAGGGAAAAATAATGAAGGTAAACTAATAACAATTGTAGTAACCAGGTGGCCTGATGGAGTGTGTTTTAGTTATGAAACTATAAAAAAAAAAATTGTTACACTTAAGCCCATCCTGTAAAACAGAGAGAATAGAGCTGCTTCTGGTTGAGATTGGGATGCAGGGCTGGAGTCCTGTTGTTCGGGACACCCATTTTCTCCTACCCCCAGATACCAGTCAGAAAACCAATGGCGCAGCAAAAAAGGCATGCACCGATGTTTCAGATCGCCTCATCCTTACTAAGCAGTGTGGCAGTAGGCACAGTTGCCTTGTTTATCAGAGCCACAGTTTCCCTCATCTGTAAAATGGGGGCAGTAACTACCTCATAGGGTTGTTGCAAAACACTAGCCCTGGCCGAAAGTGGGCCTCATTATCTTCTGACCTTCCATAAATTCTAAACCTGAATCCTTGGTAACTTGTTGGAATCTTTCAAAAATGTGAATGTTTCAAATGCTGCATACTCCTGAGAGTATGTGCTTTTAAATAGACTCGATGATGTGAATCCCCGTCATCACCTTGACTGATAGAAGCACTCCTGTGACGGAACTGACAAGAATTTAACAAGATTTCTTAAAGGCACTCATGTTTCCACCTCCAAAATTACTTTCATATTTAACCTGCTTAGTATTTTTTTTTTAAAGATTTTATTTATTTATTTGACAGAGAGATCACAAGTAGGCAGAAAGGCAGGCAGAGAGAGAGGCAGATGCGGGGCTCGATCCCAGGACCCCGAGATCATGACCTGAGCTGAAAGCAGCAGCTTAATTCACTGAGCCAAGTGCCCCTACCTGCTTAGTATTTTTAAAAGGAAAAGCATATCTGCTTTTACCTAGGTATTTAAGTATTAGAAATAGTGTGTATACTTTAGAGTTAAATTTTAGAATTTATGGAGAGGAAGGAAACCAATAAGGCCTTAACTTTTGCTGGTGTAAAGAAAGCTAGTCTTGAAAGGCAAAATTCTTAATGGAAGATAGTTCACACTTTTGTTAATAATGTGTAATGGACTTGCTTGCTAACCTTGTGCAAAATTTTATGTGACTTACGTAGTTTTTATGAACAGTTTATATGTGTGTGCATAAATACTACAGAGACAGCTCTGTCTTGGACACTTTTACATATCTTATCTCTAGGCTTTATGTTTATGGCTCAGAATTAGAAGAAACTGGAACATAAATGTTCTGAGGATAAAATGAGTATTACTAGTAAAGCTTATAATAAGCATTTGAGTAGTTTCTAACATCACTAAAGTTTCTGTCAGGTAGTAGAATTTTGGAAACCAGTTTATAAAGGAGGTAAAACACAATTTCAACTCTGGTCGAAAGAGGGGAGAATGGAGTCCTTCTTGCTTGGTCTGCCTGTGCTCTTTCTCACCCTAAATTTAATGCCCTGCTTGAACATCAATAATGATAAAAACTGGAAAGCTATAGCCTATGTAATCTATGAAGTCAGTCCTTTTAATCAAGTTCCCACTTTTTCTGTAAAGCATAAAGACTTTTTAATAGTTAATTTGGATCTGAGAAAAAGGGTTAATCTCAGAAGTGATGTAGTTCTAAAAAAACAACTAAGACTGCCTCTTCTGTATTCCTTTTTTTTCCCCCAAATGTTTTCTTCCTTATTTCTACTAGCACTGCCAAGGGAGTGCTGATGTGACGCTAGCAGGTAATCTCCTTGCTGTGGGGTCCATTTGTTTCAGTGAGGGGGCGGGTGTGCTCCCTCGTGGTTCTGAGACTTGAGGCAGTTTGTGCATGCAGTCGTGTAGGGATACAATTTGGATTCCCGTGTGCAGATGTGCCAATTCTTGTGCCATTTGGGCCCGTGCGGCAGCTTCCTTCCTGTGTCTACACTCGTCCAGCTTGTGCTTTGAAATCTGTCGTGTTCTGAGCACAGCAGAGGTCATGGACATATGTGGTGGTTTTAAAGGTTTTCCTATAATTAAAGATGTCTTTTCTGATTCAGTCCTGTTGCTGTTTTCCAGAATTTCTATACAGGAACCACCCCCTTCTCCCCAACACCCTGCCCTGTGTGTCTAATCACTTGTACTGTCACTTTGTTCAGTATGTACTGTCTTAAAATCTACATACATAAAATGGCAAGATACTGGATATGTGAAGAATGTGGTCAATAAAAATATTTGGGAAAAACTTAGTTCTGTTGTTTTTAAAAGTAATCAAGTTCATTCAGTATTTACATATTTCACAATTACAGATGTTTTTCAGTTTTAAAAGATTGTGAGAGCGCGCATACACAAGCGGGGTGTGAGGGGCCGAGGGAGAAGCAGACTCCTCGCTAAAGTAAGGAGCCTGATGTGGGGCTCGAGCCCAGGA